GGGCGCCAGTCTGTGTGTGGGGGGGCTGAGGCAGCACCAGGCTCCCACCTGACACACCCCAGGTGCCCTGACCACCTTGTCTCCTCCAGTCTAGGGACAGGAAGATGGTGGGCGACGTGATCGGGGCCCAGGCCTACGCCTCCACCGCCAAGTGCCTGAACGTCTGCACCTTGGTCCTCGGCATCCTCATGGTCGTTGTGGCCATCACTGTTGTCATCATCAGTGCATCCGTCTCGGGATGACCCCGCAGGTCTCCGATGAGGAAGTGCCTGAAGTCCCCCGTCGTTGGCCACGCCCCTCCGTCTCTGCCCCAGCTACCCTGGACTGTTGGCACTCTCCTCTTGCCCTAGCGTTTTACTATTTTTTAAGTCTTTTTTCCCCTTAATTTCCATAAAGTGTGTACTAGAGAGAGAGAGAGAGAGAGAGCGCGCCCCGGGTGGCTGTGGTCATGCCGCGGTCCTTTTCCTCCGTTTATGCATCCCCTGATGTTTTGGGACCCTGACAGACCTGCACCCAGACTGCTTTTGAAGCCGTTGGGGTTGGGGTTCAGACCGAGGTCGGCCCTGCGGGATTGGCCCTCTGCAGAGTGTTTCACCCATGGCCCCTAGCTGCACCCAACTCCAGCACCCTTGTACTTTACAACTTTGTGCTCACATGTCTGACTACGATGGGATTCAATAAAGTGCACATGTTTGCAGTGGAGTGGTGCTACCCCCCCGGGAGGGGACGTGCCGAGGGTCCCTCCCTGACCTGGGCCCATCGCCCAGCCGCCCGCTGTGCTGCGCCGAGGACCAGAGTCCTGGGTGGTCTCTCCTTTGCAAGATCTGAGCCCTGAGCCTAGATCTTCCCTTCGGGGAAGCCTGGTTGAGTGTAGAACGCCCCAATTGTCCGTCACCCTCAGGAAGGTGCAGAGGGTCCACAGCCCAGGGCCTCTGTCCCTGGACTGACGCTTGGGGCCTTGGGAGACTTGCGGGTTCCAGGAGCAGTGAGCTCATCTGGAAGGCAAGAAGCTGCCACAGGCCAGCCAGCAGAGGGCGCCACAGGCGTCCGTAAAGGCTGTGTCCCTGGGGTGGCCAGCAAGGGTTCATTCAGCCTTGAACTCCAGCCCTGGAGCGGGTGGAGGGTAGGGCTGATTCCCCATCCAGACTCTCCACTCGGCCTCCCAGCCTGAGCCGGTCCTCAGACGGGGAGTGATGGACAAAGGTGCTGCCACGGGACTGCTGTGTGCACGACCACGTGCCTCAGTCCTTCCCAAGGCAGCTGGTGGCCCTCCACTGGGGTCCCGGGCCCTGCGGAGAGCGGTCCTGTCTGGGCATCTCAGGCACTGCTGCACACGGGCCGGGTCAGGCCTGCTGGGCTTCTCCCTAGGTCCTGGTCCTCGGGGAGCCTGGGGCGGAGGACAGTGGAGTGAGACAGGAGAAAGCCAGCGGATGGAAGCGGGGAAGGGCGGGAGCACCTGCCCGTGTGGCTAGATAGAAAAACCGATCAGGGCAGAGAGCCCCCCACCCAAGGCAGTGTAGGTGGGCGATTTCCAGCGGGGCATGTCTAGCTGACCAAGGGCCCTCGAGCCACTCTCTCTGCTCGGGCCGCTCCTACCTCTTGGGAGCGTATTTTCACTTTTACTTAATAAACTAACCTTTGCTTTCGCCATTGGCCTGTTTCGGTCAGTTCTTTCAAACACCAAAAACCTGGACAGCACAGAAGCCGCCCTGCGACTGGATCCAGGTCCAGAGTCACTGAGGCCATGGGCCCTCCCTGTGGGTGTTGCCCATCCCAGCTGTAAGCCTGGAGCAGGAACCAGAGGTGGCTGTGCACCCACTGGGGCAGCCCCTGCCGGGGACGAGCCTCGCAGAGGGCGGCCAGGGCCCGTCTTGGACCCACTCCCACACAGACCCCAGCCGGGAACAGTCCAAAATGGTGCCTCGTCCTGGAAGGACAGCAAGACAGGCCACGCTGCAGGGGTGCCGGTCCCTGCCCGTCCTCTGCTCTTTCACCCGTGTGGCCCCGCAGGCACGCCTAGGGGACCCTCGACCGCAGCTGGACGACTGGCAGATCCGGCTGGGTGTAGATCAGGCTCGGGCCAGGGGTGTGGACACCACCCAGCGAATGCCGTCTTCTCCATTCTCTCCTAAAGGTGGACGTGGGCACCAGGGACCGCGTGGCAGTACTGCCCACCCGAGCAGCATCGTGTCAGACCCACAGTTAACCTGGGGAAGGATGGCCGAGGCGCAGTGGAGGAGTCAAAGCAGCTTGTTTCTGTTGAGGGCTTATGAGTTCGCCCGATGACAAGAAGCCTAGATCCTGGACGGTGCCTGCAGAGCGGCTGCTGAGAAAACGGCTTTCTTTATTTATGTATTTTAGCTAGCTGTAGGGTACATACAGAGAGAGGGAGGGAAAGGGAGAAATCATTCCTGGGGGGATGGCCATGCCACAGTCCCTTTTCCATTCTCCTCCGGGGATTTTGGGCATCACCTTCGGGCACAACAACTGGTTTTCACCATCAGAAGGTGGCAAGAAGAAGGGAAGTTAGTTCTTCGCAAGGCGCCCGTTGGTTCACTTACAATAGCAGACAACTGATGTGATGAGAATTTGGGGAGCTGTAGTGAAGGAGGGCTGGGGGATCCCGGTGCAAATCTGTTGCCCTTCACTGCTCGGTTTGTTTGCTGTAAATGCTTTCAAGCCATCAGCACCTCATGAAGCAAAGCCTTCAATCTGTTCATTAAAATACAAAAGGGGGCCAGCAGGCGGCGAAGTGGCTAAGGCACTAGACTCCCACACGTTTGAGTCCAGGACCCGGTGGTTTCAGACACCGTGTGTGTGTGTGTGTGTGTGTGTGTGTGTGTGTGAAATGCGCGCGCGCGCGCGTGCGCGTGTGTGCCCCAAATCCTGAGAATGGAGAAGGGATTGCAGCATGGCCATCCGGAGCAATTTCTCGCTTTCTGTTTCTCTGTCTCTCCGGCAAGCACAACCCTATAGCAACAATCTCAGCAGGTGGCACAGTGGTTAGGAGCTGGACTCCCACATGGCTGACCGCAGTTCAAGTCCTTGCACTCTCGCACTCAGTGGGTTGATTTCTTACTTTCCCTCCCTCCCTCCCTCTCTCTCTCTTTCTGGTCAAATTAAAATAAATAAAAATAATGATAATAATAATAAATAAATATAAACAAATAAGTATGTATATATAGACCTTGGGCATGGTAGTGGAGTGGAGGTTAAGGCAGCTGAAGTCCCACATGGTGGACTGCACATGCGAATCAGGCCAGGTGCGTGTGCGTGTGTACCCAGAGAGCAGTATGGAGGAGAAGGGATTGTGGCATGGCCACCCCCCCGGGGCATGATTTTTACTTTCTCTCTCTCTCTGTCACTGAACACACCCTATAGCAAAAGCTGAAAAGAAATAAATAAGTAGCATATATAGGGACCTTGGATTTAATAGATATTTTTCTTTTTCATTTGATAAGGATTCCATAGATATTTTTCTTTTTCATTTGATAATGGGCGTGTGCGCTTGCTGGAGAGAGACAGAAAGGAAGCAAAAGGAAAAACAAGTGATAAAGTATCCCCTGGGGATGACCACACTGCAGTCCGTTCTCCTTCCTTCTCCGGGGTTCCTCCAGGGTTCCGGGCATGTATACTCACGTGCCTAGTGTGTTTTTCAATCTGCCTGGGTCCAAGATTCAAGTAGAGCAGTCAGTCAAGTGCGAGCCGGCTGCCTTAAGCACGAGTCCACCTGGCTGGCCCCAAAGATGTTTTTCGAAGTTGCTTTACTTTCTTACCACCAAGTCATAGCCTCAAATGATGCAGTTGATGATGGAGATGGAACATTCCGGATGGAACAGGAAGCTGCCCTGACTCCTGCTTCCTGTGCCTACACCATCACCTGGGGCTGCAGGGGCCCTCCAGGGCACAGAAGATAAAGAACGAAGAGCTCAGAGCCTGGTTCTAGACGGGTGAGCCAGGGATGAGGGAGCAGGGCAGCGATGGGGCTGCACTCCAGCCCTCCCGGGTGGCTCTAGGACCCCAGTGAGCAGCAGCTGTCCCAGGGGTAGAGCAGGAAGGAGCCCTGGCCATGCTCTGTGTGGGGAGAGGTGCCTGAGAATAGAAAGTATTTGGAAGCCTGGACATGCAAAACCCTAGAGCTCACCAAGGCCAGCAGCGGAGAGGGACTGGGCACCCGGGCCCTGAGGTCAGCCAGGAGCACGCAGCAGCCCTGAGGTAAGAGCAGGACCTCCGCCCTGTGGCAGAGTTCACCAGGAATTTCAACCAGACCCGCTTCCACCGGCCCCTGGCACTGAGAAGGGATGCTAGGTCAACATGCTAATTTCCTGTGAGACAATGGATGGGCTGGCGGGTGGCATGGTGGTTAAAGACGCTGGATTCCCGTGTGGCTGACTGTAGCAGTTCAAATCTCAGACCTGGTGGCTTGCTTTCTTGCTTTCCCTTTCGCTCTCTCTGATCAAATTTTAAAATAATAATAACAATTGAAAAAAAAATTTTTTTTGAATGGTTTTTGCTATAGGGTGCGTGCGCTCGCCAGAAAGAGAGAGACAGAGAGATAGAAAGTGAGAAATCATCCCCCGGGGGGATGGCCACGCGGCAATCTCTTCTCCCCCATTCTCTTTTCGGGATCTTGGGCACGCACACACACATGTGCACCCAGTGTGAACTTAAGCCACCAGGTCCGGGTCGACTACATGGGAGTCCAGCAAAATAGCCATTACACTAACTACTGGTCCCACAAATGAAATTTAATAAATAATTCTAAAAATATAAATAATAAGGAAGAACATCCATATACGGATGCTTGTATCTTTTTTTATAAGAATTATTTAATTTAATTTAATTTATTTATTCTAGTTTGACCAGAGAGAGACAGAGAGAGCAAGACAAAGAGAGAAAGAGAGAGAAAGCTAGCCACCAGGCTCAAGACTTGAACTGAAGTCGACCACGTCGGAGTCCAGCATCCTTAACCACCATGCAACCTGCCGGGCCCCAATGCCCATACTTTCTAAGACCACACTGGGCATGCATAATTGGGAAACCAAATTCCTCCCCTGAGAGAAAAGTACGTAAGCACAGATAAAATCCCATGAAATCAAACAAAGAAGCCAGACATTATGACAGACTTCCTCTGCTAAATATTCACACCAAATCCCTCCTTTTTTTTTTTTTTGACTTCAGGGCATGTGCGCTTGCCAGATCCCACATTAAAGTAACAGCTAACTGGAACCAGCAGGTGGCATAGTGGTTAAGGCATTGGACTCCCACCTGACTGACCATGGTCTGAGTCTGGACCTGGTGGCTTGGAATTCATGCTGCATACGTGTGTGTGTGTGCTCAAAATCCCGAGAGGACAATGAAGGAGAAGGGATCGTGGCATGGCCATCCCTCCCCACACTGCAGGGGAGGTGATTGCTCGTTTTCTTCTTCTTTTTACCCACAAGCCAAACTGTGTCCAGCTTTATTAAAGACACTTCTCATAAACAATCATGGTATTTCAGGCAGGACGTGGGCAGACGATCGTTAACAGAATACAACGACTTTCAAACTCCCTCCTTCAATGGACTACAGAATCAGAAAGCCACTATAGGGACCTGCAGTTAGCGTAATGGCTATGTCACTGGACTCCCACGTAATCGACCGCGATTCAAGTCCCGGACCCGGTGGCTTAAAACTCACGCCGAGCCCATGTGTGTGCGTGTGTGCCCAAGATCCCGAAAGGAGAATGGAGGAGAAGGGATTGCGGCGTGGCCATCCCCCCTGGGGGGTGATTTTCTGTTGAGCGCATGTGCCCTATAGCAAAAACCTCTCCAAAAAAAAAAAAAAAAGAAAGCCACTACCTGAAGACGCAACAATACAGGAAAGGAACGGCTGCTCCTTAGAAGGACGCCCTCTCGGTGTCATTGGGAAGTCCGGATTGCCTGATATCCTGCCATAACCAGTTCTCTGTGATCAGGTGCCCACAGGTCTCTGGAGTAAGGGAGCTCAGTCTGCTGCAGGCAGAGAGGGAGGACATGAAAGCAAATGTTGAGTGCTCCACACCACACGGCGCCTGTGCCAAGGCGGAGGTGTGTCAGGGAACCCCTCCTCTCGGGAGCCAAGAGGAAGTCTCTCAACACTAGAAGGGGAAGATGTTGTCCGAATCAATCCAGCTTCAGGGACATTCTATTAGTGACAAATGCCCCTTCCCCAAAAACAACCGTGAAGTGTTCTGTGTGCTAACAACATAGCTTAAAAAAGAAGTATAACAAAATTCTGCATTTGTATAAAACTTGATAAAAAAATAGTATTTCGAACTGTGCCGTGACCAGGACAGAGTTATCACAAACGCACACCTCACTCGGCATCTCCAGCACCTGCAGCTTCCTGTGCCTGGTCTGTGCTGGCATCTCCGTTTCCTGCAGGGTTACCCCATCCTCACCAGCATCAGCTTTGCCCTTTTCCTGTGGGCACCTTCTCTCCCTTCTTTCGGGGCCTTTTTAGGCTTGGGCTCTGGCTGTGGAGGAGCAGGTTTCGCAGACAGCCTTGCACATCTTCCCTGTGGTCCGCCCTTCACCTGGGCTGTACCCCCTTCAGCCTCCCCTTCAGCCTTCCTCTTGGGCATGGTGGCCAGGACGATGGGATGCAGGCGCCGGACGGGGGGTGCAGCGGCGCAGGCTTTGGTGGGTCCGGGGTCGCCCTCGCCTCCTCTTCACACTGCTCCCATTTCTCGTTTTCTGTCTCTCTGGCAAGCACACATGTCCTATAGCAAAAATCTCAACAAAACAAAACAAAAATCAAAACAAAACAGTCACACCTGACCCACACCCAGGGCAGCTGTCCTTCTCCAGCAGCTGCCCACCCACACACCTTTCTGGCACGAGGGAGCATTTTTTTTTTCTGATAAAAATCTTTTCACGGCCAGCCGACGGTGTAGTGGTTACATCGCTGGACTCCCACATGGCCAACCGTGGTTTGAGTCCCAGACTGTGTAGCTTGAAAATCATGCCATGTGTGTGCATGCCCAAGATCCAAGGAAGAAAGTAGAGGAGAAGGGACTGTGGCTTGGTCATCACCCCAAGGGGTGATTTCTCACTTTCCCTTTCATTGTTTCTGCCTCTGTCTCTCTGGCGAGTGCACTTGCCCTATGGCAAAAACTAAAAACAAAACAAAAACAAAAGTAAAAATATTTTTCTCTTTAAAACTCCTCACTTTTCTATTAAAAGGTCTCTTTTCTTATTTTACCTGTTTGTGGGTTTTCATTCTGGATCTCAGAGAAGTCTCTAACCTTAGAGACCTGGACCCAAAGAGCCAAAGATTTCACATAGTGCATCAGCTTCCCATCTGATAAGAGGGTCTGAGGTGGGACGGGAGTTGGGGACCATGAACCGAGTCATTGCCATGTTAATTTCAGGACAGAATCTCTGTTTGGGGCCTGGAAAACAGCCGCAGCAAAGGAGTCCAACGTCCCGGAGTACCTGAGCCGATCATGCACACCACCATTGTGGGAAATCGGGAAACGTCTGACTGCTTTTTCCTATTTCTGAACTCTTTCCAAAGGGCCTAGGAGAAGTCAGGCCTACAAACATTAACAGACTGCTTTTAATCCATTGATAATAGGACCCTTCCAGGGCCGGCAGGTGGTGTGGTGGTTAAGGTGACTGGACTCCCACACGGCTGTCCATGGCTCGAGACCTGGACCTGGCAGCTTGCTTTCTCACTTTCCTTCTCTCTCTCTCTGGTCAATTTCAAAATAATAATAATAATGATGACAATGAATAAAATAATTCTTTTTTAAAAAATATTTTTTCTTTTTTTAAAGAATTATTTATTTATCGTTATTCTTCAATTTGAAGAGAGAGAGACAGAGAGAAAGCAAGCTGCCAGGTCCGGGATTCAAACTTTGGTCAGCCATGTGGGAATACAATGCCTTAACCACCACGCCACCTGATGGCCCCCCAAAATAAAATAATTCTTTAAAAAAAATAAGACTCTTCTGACATCCTGTTCCTGGCATTGTATATTTATGATGCACAGTAAACCTTTTTATCTCTGTTAAAGAAATGTTTTGCTGATTTCTCGGAAAGAAATCTCTCTTTTCATCGCTAACATACAGATTTGTAAACCCTCCTATAACCTGCAAGTCTCCACTTCCAGGTGTCCCGCCTTCTTTGGGTCAGGCCCCTGGAAGGACTACACTAGGTAGGAACTGTCTCTTACTCTCAGACCAAACAGGAGCCGCCGCTGGGACTCGGAACAGGCTTGTCTGTCTGTGGGCCTGATAGCTCCATCTCGTGCTGAGTAATAAACTGCGTTAATTATTATTCTGCAGAGTTGGTCATTTCTGTCCACAAAATAAATGTTGTGAGCTATTGTGGAGGTGCCTGCTAGCCACAGAAGAGAGCCCTAGGCTGGATGAAGGGTCAGAGAAGAGAGGGCACGGGACAGCCTGCTCTTTGTAACTTCCTGCTAACCGACATTCACAGACACTCTCCGGATCGAAGACCTGGAGCCACCCTTAGGGCTGGCCGCCACCTCCCTGAGTACAGGCCGGCCGGGCCTGCGGCCAATCACCAGGCCAGGTGCCTCCCGCTCCGGGGCTGCATCCAGTCCCAGACCGTGGGGGTGGGGCTGGCAGGAACCCCGAATGGGAGAGGGAGGTTCTATAGCTGTGGGCCTCGGAGGGAGACCCCAGGACAGGAAGTCCCAGGGCCCACCCACCACCTACAAGGGGAGGTGCAGGTAGGCTGAAACTAAGCCGACTTGGGCTCCTGAGCAGGAAGCTCCGCTCACCCCTGCGCCGCCCTCGCGTCCTGCCCCGCAGTAATCTGATCCTCAGGAATCTGCCCCGCCCTCCGCTGTCCCCACCACACTGCCAATTCGCCAAACCCCGGGAAAGGAAACCAAAGGGAAATCGAAACGACTGTAGGACCCAGGCCCCGGCACCGACCCAAGTTCGGACCCCGCCACGGGTGCGGTGGGCGCCATGAACCACACTTCCCAAACCTTCTTCACTCGCGCCAGCGCCGGCTCTCCCCCGAACTATGAGATGCTCAGGGAAGAGCACGAGGTGCGCGTCCCCGGGGCGCCCCCGCCCGCGGCTCCAGCGGGGCGCCCCCGCCCGCGGCTCCAGTGACGTCCACCGTGATCAACATCCGCAGCGAGACCTCGGTGCCCGACCACGTGGTCTGGTCCCTGTTCAACACGGTCTTCATGAACTTCTGCTGCCTGGGCTTCATCGCCTTCGCCTACTCCGTGAAGGTGCGTGCGCGCTGCGGGGTGAGGGCGGCCGTGCCCAGAGCAGTGCCGGGAGCCTGCTGGGGTGCCCCCTGGGGTGCGCGTGCCCCGAGCGGCTGTGTGTAACCCGTGTGTCTCACTTGTGTGCGTGTGCCCTGAGCAGCTGTGTGTAATCCGTGTCTCACTTGTATGTGCGTGCCCTGAGTGGCTGTGTATAGTCCGTGTGTCTGGGGCTTGGGGACCCTCCCCTGTGCAGGCACTGGCCAGGGCTGGAGTGCTGGGGGGTTGGGGTCAGGCTTGTCACCCGGCCCACCGTGAGCCCTGAGGCAGGACCAGAAATCACAGCCCTCCCCTCCCGTCCCGAGTGGCAGCCAGGCTCTGCCAGAGTGCAAGGGGGACGCACAGGGGCGTCGTCCACGGGGGTGAGCGGCCAGCACTGAGCCCACAGCCCAGGGGAGAGGAGCCCGGAGGCCCGCGAGTGTGAGGACAGGAGAGGGAGGGCCCCAGTCTGTGTGTCGGGGGGGGGCTGAGGCAGCACCAGGCTCCCACCTGACACACCCCAGGTGCCCTGACCACCTTGTCTCCCCCAGTCTAGGGACAGGAAGATGGTGGGCGACGTGATCGGGGCCCAGGCCTACGCCTCCACCGCCAAGTGCCTGAACGTCTGCGCCCTGGTCCTCGGCGTCCTCATGGTCACTGCTGTCATCATTTGTCTCGTTATCGAACCAGCGATAATCCACCAAATGATTGCAGAGATGAAAAAATATTTCGAGGGCTTCCAGTAGCTGCTCATGGTCCCTGTGAAGCCCTGCTGGCCTGTCTGGCTGTGGCCATGGCCTCCCCTCCACACCCCTGCACTCTCTGCTGCCCCGCACTCCCGCTCCGTTCACATGGTAGTTACACTCCTGTGTTTGTCTGCAATGGGATTCAGTAAAGTGCATGTGTGTGTGGGTGATGGGGCTGTGACATCAGGAGGGGACACAGGAGCAGGGGTGATCAGACCCAGCACCGCAGTGAGTTTGGCTTCCTGTTCGCAGCCCATGGAGAGTGAGAGACTCAGCCGGCCGTCGGATGTAGGAAAGCCAGCAGAGTTTATTCAGTGAGAGAAGGAAGGGAAGCCCTCCACAGTGTGAGCAGCCCCTGAAGGAGCCGGTGTCTGAGTTCTATGAGGCCTTCTTGGGCAAAGGAGTGGGGCCAGTAGGTGGCATGGTGGTTAAGGTGCCGGACTCCCACATGCCTGCCAGTGGTTCAAGTCCTGGACTTGGTGGCTTGCTTTCTCACTTTCTGTCTTTCTCTGGTTAAAGAAATAATAATAATAGTGATGGGTTAAATAATTATTAAAAAAAAAAAAAAAAGAGTGGATCCCACAATGCAGTGGTTGCCATGTTTGTTTCGCCCGAGCTTCTGGTATGGGTGTTCCTTTTGGTATTCTTTAGACAGGGGATGGTTTATGCAGAGTGGGCCATTTGGGGGCTGTTATTTTCCGTGCATTTAATTATCGCCTTATAATTTCCAGTAGGTCCAGACATTTAATCCAAGTGTAGATGTTGACCAGTCTGGGTCTCTGGCTGTACTGGTCTTACCTAAGGCTCATAAGGAGAGTTGTGGCTGGTGGGCCAAAGGTTAGGGGAGACCGTGACCTCCATTAACTTAAATGGCTGGGCCGGTTCTAAAGTCCCTTTTTCTCTTTGAGTGTTTCATCATGGCCCCTTAACCTGACTGTCCAGCCAGAGTCTGCCTCAAGAGCATGCAGAGGAACCCAGCCTATTCCTGTTCTGAGCCTGCGCCCACTCCCAGCCCCTGTGCTACTCTGCGGGCGGGGCGGGTCCTGAGGTTGGGCTGTTTTTGACCTTTTGCTGGGGGCAGTGTCTGGACGGGAGGGGTCACTTTGCTCTGGCATCTGAGTCCTGATCTTCCCTTTGGCGAAGACACCTCAGTGTACAACGTGTACCGCCCCATCACCCTTCAGAAAGTGCCGGGACCTTGACTCAGAGTTTGCAGCCCAGAGCTCTGGAACACCAGCGCTAGGCCTCCCTAGTCTGCAGGGAAGAACCCCTGCCCAAACCTGAGCCTGGCCCTCCCTGGTTCTGCCAAATGGTATGCGCAAGCAGGGTATTCCATGGCTGGCATGTGTGTGGGCCCAGGTCAGTGATGGACAACAGGGGGCACCCTTTCTCCACGGAGGGGGCGAGCAGAGGAAGGCCAGACTTGAGGTGAGTCCTGGGTGGGAGCGGCAGGCAGACTGGCTGGGCAGGGAAGGATTCATTGGAGGCAAGGAGGCCCTCCCCGTTGGTTCCATCTCCTCATCCCTAGCTTTTCTGTATACTTCCCCTTCGCCTGCGGGGAACATCTGTTTTCCACATCTGCAGCCTGGAGCTGGTATCTGTCCCCTGTCCTGCTGCACACGCAGAGGGCCCACCTGGAGCCCCAGGATAGAGCACAAATGGCTGGAAACCCACTGGCTGACTCAACTCCGGGGGGCATCAAGGAGGCCCTGTCCCTCTGAGTAGGGTGGCACTGTGTTCGGGGCTCTGCCCTTGGACTGAAGCAGGGCCCTTTGGAGACTCGGAGAGCGGAGAGCTCACCTGGAAGACAAGACGCCACCACAGGCCCCGACTGCAGAGGGCCACCGGCATCCTGAAGGCTGTGTCTCTGGGGAAGAAGAGGGTGGCCAGCAAGGATGCTCTCGGGGGCCGCAGACCGGAGGTGGGTGGAGGGCAGGGCTGGTAGCCCATCTAGGCTCAGGACTCGGCCTTCCAGGGCACAGTCCTAGGAGGAAGGGTGCTGCCACATGATGGTCATGGTCACATGCCTCGGTCCTTCCCAAGGCAGCTGGTGCCATGCAGTGGGGTCCTGGGCCCTGAGGAGAGGGCCCTGTGCTGGGCATTTCAGGCACTGTTGGACTCAGGCCGGGTCAGGGCCGACCTGCAGAGCTTCCTCTTGGCCCCCGTCCTTGGGGAGCATGGAGGCCAAGGGCAGTGGAATTCAGGCCCAGGGTCTACTGAGACAGGACCGTGGGCCAGATCCTCCCAGCAGGCATTGGCCAAGCCCCAGATGGGAAGCTGGAACCAACAAACGGTGGTCAGTGCAGGCCATGCTGGGGCAGCAGACTGGGGAAGGGCCACCATGGAGGGCTGGCCAGGGGCGTGTCCCTGGCCCTGCTCGCACACCGACCCCAGCCGGGAAGGACAGCAGATTCAAGGGCCCCTCAGTCCACTGGTGCAGGGACACGGATAGACATGCCCTTGCAGTGGCGGTGCAGTACTGGAGGTCCCCTCGGCGAGCCCCAGGTGCGGCCGGGTGGCAGCAGGCACGGGGTGTGGGGTGCAGTGCTTCCTGTGCCCATGGCCCACGAGCACTCACAGCCTCTGGAAGAGAGGTCCCGCTGTGCCAACTCCTGGTGTGGATGCGGAGGGCCTCAGCTCCTGGCTGCAGGCCGCTCAAGGCAGGCCTCCTTCCTGGTGACATCCTGCTCCTCCATTGTGGTCAACTCGGCTGTCACAGTTTGGACTCTGTGTCTGCTCTGGAGCATCCCAAGGGACCCCTCCATGACCAGAGCACCTGCAGGCCCAGCTCGGGTTCTGCTTGTCATCACGGCCCAGTTTCTCGTTTCCCCCTTCCCCTGCCTGGCACTGCACTGGATTGCAAGAGCCTCTGGAATCGATACCCTACCCCACGCGGCCTGGGCTCTGCTGGGAAGGCGAGCGGGAGCAGCTCACAGGCCTGTGGGCCACTGCCTGACTGGCCCCCTGGGCCCTCCCTTGTTTTGGACATGGTCACTCTGGCTGCAGTCCTGAGAGAGTTTCTGGGGGCTCAAGCATGGAAACAGCGAGCCCGAGAGGAGGTGGGGCTAATCCAGGAGGGGTGCCACAGCGTGGCCTCAGGTCACATGGGATGGTGCCGACAGGGGACCAACAGGACCTGGAGTGGGTGACAGCGGGACAGGCTACGGTTTTGGCCTGTCACTGGCTCTGGGGAGGCTGAGCAGAGGTTTGTGGGAAGATCTGGGGATGTCTGTTGAGAGGTTGAGGTCCTCGTGGGCCCGCTGGGGTATGGGAGTTGCGTCCAGGAGGAGAGTCTGGACTGAAGACATGAGTGTGAATCACTGGTGCCTAGGTGCCTGTAGAGAGCCACGGCGCTGCTGAGTCCTCTGGAAGGAGACAAGACCAGGCTGCATGGAGCCCTGGGCCCTACACAGGACAATCCCACCCCCCCACCCCCCCACCCCGCATTTCAGGATCAAGGAAGGCAGGAAGCAACCTAACTCGTGTCCAGCCGGACGGCAGGCCTTAGGTGGAGCATCAGAAATCACTGGCAGGGGCCA